ACACGAGTTCCAGATTGTTATGTATTTTATTGCTTTGGCAACACAGCAGTGACAGTCGTGCCAATGATGGATGTTTGAATTTAACTGAGTAGAGGGAGAGGAAAGAGAGAAATGAAACAAAGAGACAAATGCAAACAGAAACAAAAAAATAAATAAAACTAAAGGTACTTAATTTTTAAAGCTCTCTCCTTGTTTCAGGTTTCAAAATAACACCTTACAATCTGGGCAACGTAGAACAAAAAGAAAGGTTTCACAGCTGCATATAGTCTTTCACATTTGTACTTCTATACTTGTGAAGACCCTCATTGACATACCTAACCTTAAACATCACAACTACATACCTAACCTCGACCTTTACCCTTACCCTAAGTTAAAACTTAACCCTACAACCAAGTCTTAACCTTCCACCAGTCTTTTGATAAGGTGCCGACCAGAAAAAAATATCCGAACCCTACAGGTTTTACTGAAATTAGTCCTCCCGAAGATTGAAATGTAAGAGCACACACTCATATTTTCGCATGCTGTGCAGGACAACGAGAATAAATACCTTCTGCGCTTACAGATTTACCCATTACCTAATGGAAAATGTGAAACGTATGCTCAAAAACTTAATTTTCTGCTGTTGTGCAAACCCCATGCTAAAGTGATATTAGTGGTATTAAGCTATTATTATTACATGCTGATGTGGAAACCATGCAGACCTCTAGAGTTAAGGCTCTCAATACGGTCGTGACCCTGTAGCACGATTCTTCATTTTCTCAATCTTTGAACCAGTGTGCAATAGTGGGAGGTAAATCAAAATACTGCACAGGTTACCAGTTGGTCATAAGATGATCCACAGGAACTGAAGGTTGTATTTCTAATTATATGAACTTACTGGCATGGGTTCTTGTGAAATAATGGATAATTATTTCAAGTAATGAATCAGTAAAATAGCTCGACAATGGAACGTTCAGGAGTTTTTGGGTTCCTCGTTCTAAATGTTTTGAGAGAGTTCTGACCTAAAATGTTTCTTAATGGTGCCCCCTGAAGAACTCAAGGTCCTCAACACCAACACAATTTGTGTTATTAAAAGCACCGATGTCTTGCAAACTGTGGGATTCTCTGTAAGAAAACCCCCTTATCCTTTCCACAGAAGAAGGAAGTTGGTCAATTACGTCATCTCTGATTGGCCAACTCTGGGTTGCTGTAACGCCTGCTTTTCTGTAAATCAGACGCTTTAGTATGAAGTGATACACAGTTTCACTTAACATATTTAGTCTGTATGTGTGTGTGTGTGTGTGTAAGCACCATTCCAATACTTTGTTATTGTATACTGATAGAGGTTAATCGAGTAACAAGGTCGCTCTAAACTACTGACCTTCGCCCAGAATTCATTCCTTGCTACTGCACACTCAGCAAAATGTTGAAGGTTACAGGCTGATTCAGTGAGGTGATACAGTGAGAAATAGTCAAATTAAAGCATCCCACACTTGTCCGCGTGCATCACAAGCCTGCAGGATAGCTCCAATGCTCCTTATTTACTGGAGGGCTGAGCACCATTTTCCAAAAGCTATTAATTAATTCAGTGTTCTGATGATGGTTTTGGAAAGCACTGTCTCCTGACATACAGCATGACTCACATATTTTATCACATCACTCAGAGACTCCTTGTGGCCTGTTTGGATTCATGATGTTCCTCTATTCATGTGTCAATGGTAGAACTGCACCAGATTGCATTAATGCAATACAGGATTTCTAGACATGATCTAACTGTTTATATTTGAACCTGGCACTGACACAAATCTCCTGTGCCCATGTTGAAATTATAATGCCCTGTCTCTCAAATTGGCACTTAACCTGCTCATATTTACTCTTTCTAAAAAAGACTTGGGCTTTCGAGAAAGCAGGATACATGTGTTGTTTTCCTTACTCTCCGAACAGCATGTACAGCTGAAAGGAGAGTAGTTTTATACAGTTGTTGTCATTGCTAACAAGTTTGCTCAGACCTTAATTGACAGCAGACGCTCGCTTGTTCTCCGTCCACAACAATCTGCTGTTTTTTATGACTTAATATTTTCAATACTCACTGCTAGTTTAAAGTTACTATCCCAGCTGTTTGCCACCTGTTTGCTTTGCGTGCATTTCCTCGTTCTGTCCGCATGCGAACATGTATTTCCATTTATGCCGTTGCCGTGCATGGGGCCGCAAAAACAAACTGGATTTATGCTTGTGATGATATCAGCGCAGCCGAATGCCTCTCTTAGTGCCTCTGGAAGTTGTCAGGGGCAACTGTATCCTCACTCGCTGTCAATAAACCGAACGTGGGTGCATTTACCCCTGAATTATTCTGCTGTTTAGCTCTATCCAAATACTGTGGTGACCCGTAATTTGAGCCAGTTCAAACAGTTTGACATCCACGTTTATTCTGCGCTCTCGACCGCAAATTAGCAACAAAACTTCACCAAACAAACTCTCGCACCACATTTTTCTGTTGAATCATTGACCCATTCGGACTATTGTTTGATTGGATCTTATGTTTCTGTATATTTAGTTTATTGTGAGAATGTATTATGTTGATGAAAGCCACATTTCCCATCGGGGAAAATAGAAATCCTCGAAGCCTCGACCCCGAACACCCCTCTGCCTGTGTTAGAGCATGAGCATTACCCAACTGGAGCAAGACAGCTGCATCAATATCAGACTAGGGACATAGAGGAGGGGGGGTGTTGGTGAGAGAGTAAAGATGGCAATGAAAGTGAGAGAGGGGGAGAGAAAGACAGAAAGAAGAGGTCAGTGAGGTTCTATTTTTATCTTTCCCGAGTCGTGTCTCGGCTTGAATGGAGGCAAAGAAGCAAAGAATTGTGTTGAAAGGCGCGTGCACGCAAATTATTTCATAACCTTGGCACACAGCAGGCTGCTGAAAGCCAGTGATTTTTGTGTGTGTGTGTGTGTGTGATCATGAAGCACTAAGCCATCATCACAGCCTCACTCTGACTTCCCCCGAGAGCTTGAAACACATCTCCTCATTGCAACATTTTTCTGATGTACTGTTTTTTTTTTCATGATATCTTTCTGTCTTTTGGCACAACGCACTAGTAATACCTTTGTAGTCCCTGGGTAATGTTTATATTACAGTGTGTGTGTGTCTGTGTTAGTGTAAGCGTGTTAGGGCAGGTAACATATTCTTTTACAGCTTTCCAACATACTTTTTTGGTGCACCAACCACAATGTCTGTGTCAAACCAAAATCATCTCAGCTACTTTGACTGATGGTAATTTAGCTCCCTGGAATGTATGTGTGTGTGTGTGTGTGTGTGTTTTAAAGTTGACTTCTAGTTCCATTTCTGGTTGTGGTCACATTGAAATTCTGTCCTCTCCTGCTGTTGTAACTATTTAGATTTGAGGAATTCTCTGTTATTTTTTTGACTGGATCATGGATGCAGCAATTTGCCTCAGGAAACAGCAAAGAAACCAGTCAAACTGACAATACTTAACAATAAGGAAAATACTGAAAACTTTAGTGAAACCAGAACAGCAAATGGCTGTAACCAAGTCTAATAATGTATATAAACTGGGATAACTAGTTTTACAGTAAACTATGTATACCAGTCCTCTCCCTCTACTCAGTTAAATTCAAACGTCCATCACTGGCACGACTATCACCAGTACTGTAAAGAGAAATGCCAGAAATACAAGAGAAACCAGTATATAAACTGGGATAGCTAGTTTTACAATACATGTAAAAAAAAATAAAACAGTTCAGAAACTTCTCAAATCAGTTGGACAGTTCAGCAACACACTGCAAATTTTTTTTTTTTTTGTAAAACATTAGATACAGCAAAGACACTGATTAAACAGAGCTCAGCAAGAAGCAGTGCTCCGTCCAGCTTAACCACTTCAGCAACATGCTGGGCTGTACCACAGTCATACAGTCTAAAAAACTGAGGGCTGGATTTATCGTAAAGGCTGGAATTAGATCTTAACTGGTCAACTGAGAAAATCCTTTGCTTGTAGTTTGCTTTGTGAAGACTTTTTCTTACTGTGCAATCAGAAAGTATTGGGACACTCTCCATTGTATTTGATTCGTACTCTGGATATGAAATGAAACAGTGTCTACTGTATAAGGTACAGTGTGTACCGTAAGTGCTGAATCTCAGTTGTAATTTGAGGGTTTTTACATCCATATTAAAAAAGCAGTTAAGGACTCAAAGCCCAGTGTATTACAACATGGCACCTCAGGAGTTTTTATATTCTCGACTGGCCAGGACAGGCACCCAAGGATGTGGTTGAAAGCTCTGTAAAAAGCTAGTGGTCAAACTGAAACATTCACCTTTCACCAGATGATGACTTTTACTTTGACGTTAGTCTTAACTTACTTTCTGTCCCCTGCTACTGGAAGAATATGAATAAGAAGGGCAGTCGTTTCGACACTGTTCACCTGTATATAAACGCCCTCGAATTAAAGCTGGAAATCAGCACTGTAAGCTTATAGTTGTTTAATTTAAAAAACCAACATGCCAAAAACAACAAAAGCCTGCAATGTGCCTCTGACCTCACTGTATACAGATGTTTACAGTGAGGTTGTTTTGTTTTTCTATCTGTTTTTGCAATACCTATAATTATTTTCATCAAGGAACATCTCTCTAAAGTGGATTTATGACATTTTGAAATGCAACAAATAAATATTAAATGTACTGAGTATAAATACCTCCAAAGCTGAATGGAGACCAAGAATACAACCCTGAATCACCCTGAACATGTGAACTTTAGATGTACTCAGATTATGCGTATAAAGACTTTGATAAGTGGATGGAAAGTTAGCTTTTTAGGAACATTCTTGGCCCAAACACACCGCTCTGTTTCTCTCTGGTGTTTATGAACCTCACACACTTCATCACACACACATCCATGTTACACAAACCATGCGCTGTCCGCTGTCCTGTAAAAACCTCTGAGGAGTCATTTCAGCTAGAAAAAGTATCTTCAGTCTGTTAAGTGTAGTTTGCTTGTTGGGCTCACCTGTTGGTCTGCACATGCTCAATTTAGTTTCAATGGGAGTCCCGACAGAAAGCGTCCTCATGGGGCCATCCTGTAAGGAAACACATAGGAGAATGACCATGAGTGTGTTTTCATAACTTTAACCTCACTGACAATACAAACTTATGAACTAGTGTCTGACAACATTATGGAAAGGATCCCTACAGAGATAGTCCTTTTTGTTAAAGAGTAAGATCCTTTCTGTTTAACTAGAAACAGCTGTTACAGAGCTCTGTTCAAAGCCACCAGACTCCATTGAAAAACAGTAATTTTATCTCTCAGAACACTGGAGTTTCTGGTCTACCGCTGCCTCAATTGGTTAGTTTGTTTGCGCTATTGTGTGACTTTGGTGTTTTAACACGTTAGTTGATATCTGAACTAACCCTTTAAAACACCAATCGAGGCAGCGGTAGACCAGCAACTGCCGTGTCCTGCGACGTAAAATTACTGTTTTTTTCAATAGAGTCTGGTGGCTTCGAGATCTCAGTAACATTGTCAGACACTTATAATAACAATCTGAACTGGCCATTGGCAAAAACAAGCACAGTTAGCGACATATATTTGAACTTTGGGAAAATATTTTACTAGTATATATGTGTATATATACATATATATATTTTATTTGCATAAACATCATGTAGCTTCAAAGAAAAGCAGATACATAAAATATTAGAAAGGCTTATGTAAAAAGGTTAAACATGTTTGTGTGTTGGTATGTGTAGCTTGTGAGTGGTATGTCAGTGTGTGTGTTTGTCTAAGTCTTAATATTGTGTATATTAAAGCGGTTTTATCTTGTGTATGCATATTTGTGGATTTAGGGTATTCTGTGTGTGTGTGGGTGCGCGTGTGTGCGTGCATTTCTGAGGGAGTCAGGTCACTATCGCAACAGGAAATAAACAGGATGCGGCGAAGGAAGTGGTCACCGGAGGTGTGAAGCAGGAACCCCTCCCTCCCTTTTTACTACTAACACACACACACATTCAGAAACACACACATACACACACACACACACACACACACACACACAGAGGGTACCATGGACTATAGGCTGAGGGCGGCCTGTCTACCTGCCTGGCACATAGATACCTGAGACTGCTTCAAAGCTGAGGTGAACCTTCCCCCCCTGCTTGCCTCTCCCTACGCAAAGGCACACACACACACACACAGTGACACAGGCCTTGGGCTAGTAATGCTGTTCCCTCTGTGACAAAGTCCGACTGTCACTCAGTGTCAGAAGAAAAAAACGATGTTGTTCATATAAGAGACGTGAGTGAAAAACATTTGCATACACTACTACACTCTGTCATTACATTTTATGCTAGAGTAAACACACAGGTACTTACAATTTGTCATAAGATGATTTGATTATTAAACTTATCATCAAGGCCCCATTTACACTTGACATTTCATACATGTTTGTTTGACATCTGGTTTAAATGCATCCCAGACTTCCTTCCAAGGTGTTATGAGCCGTCAGATATTAATCTTGTCTGAGGACATGACTCATTCATAGTCAGACCACACAATCAACGTACAAGAAAAACCTGT